ACTTAAATTCCAAAACTAGCCTTTCAAAAGTTTATGGATATATTAAGGGTAAATAGGAAAAGCTATAATTTTTTTTCACATTGACATTTCGTCATCCAAAAAAGAAAAGGATACTTATTTTAGGACAGAAAATGTATTTTTTTTCATTTTTGTGGGATCATAAGCCCATTTTCATGTGCATTGAAGGTAAGTTCGAACTATTATAACTTATAACCAAAGAAGGAATTATAATTAGATCCTTTTACTTATTGCTCAAACTATTATATCAAATCAAAGATCTCTTCATCTTGGATAGGTTTCATTTTAATCCCAAATGGCTACAATTAACCAATCCTCACCATACTAACCGATCTTCAAGCTGTTTGAATTCCATTTGATCACATCAAATATAATTCAAGCTCAGTTTCTGCACGCTAAACTTAAGTTTTAACTCTTCTGGCTTGTTTAATTAATCCGCCTCAAACTCAAGCTCATTCCCGAATTCAAACTTAAGCTTCAGATCAATATTAATTAAAAGAATCGATTAAACGCCAGAGGAATAAACGAATCATAATCACGAGACTTGACAAGCCTTTCAAGGATCATGTTTGAACACGCTCATGAGACTAATGAGTCAAGTTACTTGACAAGCCTTTCATGGATCATGTTTGAACACGCTCGTGAGACCAATGAGTCAAGTTAGCAGTTTCTCATACTCTACTTATCCAGCAAGCGATCCCAAAAAACGGAGTTCAGACTCGAACTAATTTACTTCATAACAAATAATATCTTAATTTAACCACGGTTCATTTGTGGTCTTAAATCATAATTGAACTTTTAGACTTTGAAGGCCAGCACAGAAACTTTTGATGATCCACCTTATGAAAATTTATTGTGCCCATATAACATCATACTACTCAGAGGATCTAGTGGCTAAAAGAGGATGTCATATAGATTAGTGTCCCATGAAGTCTCATCTGATTTCAGAAAGGCAAAGTTCATTCGCCTTGAGTCTAATCTGATAGCTTAGTGTACATCCTCACCTTCCAAAGTGGAAGGTTGAGGGTTCAAGTCTCCAGATTATATATATATATATATATATAACTTTTCTGGAACACTGACATAAACCCAGACATTTTTGCCTATAGACTACTCTCAGTCCGCAGTCCCACCCCTAAAGCAGCTCCCCAAAACCACCTGCATACAACTACCATGATGTTGTATGATTTGGAACCGATACATCATGTGACGCAATCTTTATCATTTTATTGCAGATATGGATTATTCTGGTCAGAATTCAAGGCTCTGTTTTAGCATGAGCAAAAGACTAATGTTATGCTACACTAGAATGGAATGTAGGATGGGGTAGAATGAGAATGATGCGTGAATAGAATGGTCATTCCTAGGTACACAGTTTAGTCATAGATGTATTTCTGCAGAAATGGAACGATCATTTCTATCTTGTAATTTGGTAAGACTACCTGAAATTAAATGCTAGAATAAAAACATGTCTTAACTAATTGATAACGTTGTATTACTCTGAAGTCCACAGACATCTAAAGCTATCACTCCCTTCAAAACTGGAACAGAACAACATATATGCAAAAACCCAAAATAAAAAATAGAAGAGTGAAAGAAACAAAAGATAAATAGAACAAACGGATAAGTATACTATTGTAGAATATCAACCAAACTAGTGATAAGACAAGGAAGAAATGTCTCTCACTGTCATTAGAAATAAGCTTAATTTGCTTAAACTGATGAGGACAACCTGTGGGCTGCGACCCTTCCATCAATACCTCTCCTACTTTATCCTGATCCCTAGATTTCCATAATCAGACGCCAACTTATCAGAAGTAAAAAAATAAAAATGATTAACATCGTCAATGAATTTCTAGGATCAAATTTTCAAATTCAACACCATCAAGTTAGGATCAAATTTTCAAATAACTTTATGTATGACATAAAGTTAGAAAAAATTCAGCACCATCAAATTTTTTTTTTTTTTTGTGAAATACCATGCAAAGGGACAAAAGCAACGTAATATAAAATTTTCATCCACATGTTAAAATGTGGCTATAATCTAACAATTTTAAACTTTAACAAAAGACAGGCTCATGATGAACCTTTGAAACTTTAATGTGAGACTCAATCTGTGTTCCTGAAAGAGAACTTGATATAAAAATATATTGTAACATCAGAGAGTGCAGTTTCAAAGGAAAACCAGAAGCCGAGTGAAAATTTATGAACTCCAGGTTAATGGGATAAAGGTAAAAGAGAAAATGAGGGGTTAATTATCCTCCCATCTACTATGTCTTCATTGTATTATAGTAGTTGTTTTCTCTGTTACATGGACTCTTCAAAAGTAGTGATACACCCGTGTCGGACATATATCCCACGGATATGGGTATGGGATATGTGTCCGACACTTTTGGTTGGACATGTACTTAAAAAGCATATCCAATTATTCAATTACATTATATTATTACTTTAAAATGAGTTAAATGCCTTATATTGAACATTACATTAGATAAAAACATTACTTTAAAAAATAAAATAAAATAATTAATAAAATGAATATTTAGCCGTGTCTGTGTGTCCTTCTATTTGGAGATTTGACACGTCCGACGCATGAATACATACTCGTGTCCTACACCCGTACCCGAGTCCATGTAACATAGGTTGTTTGTTTTTTACATCTTTTAAGAGCATCCACAGGCACACAGCTCCCTGCCTCCCTCTTTCCATATATATTCTTTGTCTATTGACAGAACATTTTTCCAACTATTAGAGATTGGGTGCACAAATCCTATTTCACCATTTGACTCTGCTAACTACCATTTACTCCAAAAGCTTAAACTGTTAGAGAGAGTGTAACTTTAATATTTAAATATTCTTTAACACGCCTCCTCACGTGTGGCCTTCTTTTCGTCCAACTCATGTTTCGATATTTACAATTTTAAGTATCAGGATGACGGTGAGGTTTGAACTCGAGAACTTTGGCTCTGATACTAATTACCATCTATTCCAAAAACTTAAACTGTTAGAGAGGGTGTAACTTTAATATTTAAATATCCTTCAACAGACTCTTAAGGTTTTAACCTCAATAAAACCACATTATAGCATGTCTTTCTTTACTGTCTCAATACATGTTAGTTTTGGTATTCCCTTCCCTAACATTACCCTCAGTTTGCATCACATCACTCTTTCTCATTATTGCAATTATTGGTATTCATTGCATATAGCTAAACCATCTTAATCGATTTTATCTCACTTTATCTCCAATTGGTTGTACTTTGAGTATCTCATGAACATATTCATTCATTTATAATTTTATTCTATCTTGTCTTGCCACAATTTTATCTTTCATTTCTTCTCTCTCTACCAGTCTTGAAACCTTTTTTTATAGTTTGAGAGTTAAGACCCAAAGCAACTAGGACAAAGGGGGACCAGTCTTGCCACGCATTTCAAACACGCTATATATATATATATATATATATATATATATGTTTCTAAGCTATCCAGCATAACATCCTATAAAATGTGACTAATCAGTCTAATAGGAATTTTATAATATTTACACCATCTCTAGTTTAAAATGTGACTAATCTATAATTAACACCATCTCTAGTTTCTCCCTCTATAAATATATGTATATATGTGAACATGCGTGAAATCAAATAATATAACATTGTAACAGTGTGCCATCAATCATAATGATTAATTGTGTTTCTTAATCTTGTTGTACTAACTTCTCTACGAGTCATCAGATTAAAGGAGGCTGCTAGAGAGTAAGGGTTTAAGAGGTCAAAATTCTTCTAACATCATCATCATCATTATAAACTCCACAAAGGTAAAATGAAGCAACCTGCTCTAACTCTCCTACCCACTCTATAAAACCCTCCAACTACAAAGCACTTCCCCCACCAATGATTCTCATTAGTCTCCAAAAAGAGTTAACAAGAGACCCCATAACTCCCTGGCTACAGAAAAATGCAACAATAGATGATTAACTAACTCTTCATCCTGTTTGCACATGGTATTTCTATAATCAATAGTCAATATCTTATAATAACTGCCATTACTTAAAGTGCAAGTTTAAGGAGAGCTTTTGTGTGCCACATTTCTCAAGGGAACCCCAGACAATATGCTTCTCGGAGCACTCGAACGATAACATCATTTTCCACCCTAGACTTTCTCACCATTTCCGGACTTTATCCATCTAAAAGCATGCTCCTCAACCAGCTTAGAAAATGTCAAAGAAAGCCTCAATCTCTCACCACTACCAAGCCCGTAAGAGCAGACTGAAGTAAATGTCTCACAAATCCAACCTTGTGAACATGAGAAAATCAACAAACACAACCTCCCAGTTCGCGGAAATTTTGAAAAACTCAAAATGCAACCCTTCTACGTGTCTTCCTTTATCCCATTCTTCCTTTCTATCTCTCTCCTTTGCCTTTGGTCTTTCTTTAACTGATGCAACAAGACCATTTCTTCGCTGACAATCTAAATATCCAACCCTCATACCTGTACGGATAAACAAATTATTTTGAATTCATATGTTAATTAGTTTGATCATTTGGTAAGTGTTTCAGGTCTATATGTTTCTAGATTCATATTATGCATCATGCCTTCCCCACTTCTTAATTCATTTTCCTTCAATAAAATTTAATGCATGTCAAATCATTGGAAGCACAATTTATAACTCAGGTTCTAAGTTCTCTTTAGTATTGCATATCTAGAGGCACAATTAATGAACATATTACTTTACTAAGTTATATGAAAAATTCTTTGCAATACTTATCCATGTCAAAAGAAATGGTCATTAACTAGAATACAATTACAATAAGATTCACAAAAACAAAAATATCAATTCTTCAAAGATTATAGACAATTATATAATAGAGCAATTAACTGAAAATTCAAATTTTGATGAAGCAATGTATAAAGGCAAAGCAATATAGAGGAGAAGAGACACATCATGCACCCCAAAAGAATTAAGGAAAGGGGAAAAACAAGTCTTCGGAATATTAGATTACATTATCAAAGGAAATATCTCGCAAGGATACAATAAATGAATCTAATCAAATAATTCTCTTATCCGGCATTAAGACAAGATTGACATAACCTGAAACTACAAAATGTGAAGAGAATTGAACAACAAATCTGAAGAGCCGAAAGTGCTGAATTTAAATAACAAGTAACATGGATCAGAAAATTCACCGACTAGAAACTACCTGAAGAACTTCTGCTTTGAGCCAGATGCATATATACACAGGAGAGGGGCCAAATACACCAAGGGACAACAGCAGCAATCACGTTGTAAATCTACCTGATCGTGACAAACTTGTTTGTACCATGCTTAGCCCAGTGAGTCCTCAGATCAATTGGATTAGAGAAGTTGTAACCTTCAGAAGCAAGTTTCTCCAAAACTTTTTTAAACGCCCCTAAACTCATCTTCCGTCCTGCTATCCTCGCTCCACGCCTTTTGGTACTCATTGGCAAGGGATACATGGACATACCGGTGGTACAACATGCAGATTGCCAGCCACCAGAGCCCCACCGATAACACTGCTTATGAGTTCCAGTGCATGAGCAAACCGGTATGGGGATGCCCGAAATATCCATATCGATTCCGTTAATTACGACTTCTGTGCTCTTCCTGGGGGTCCTTGCACAATGAACCGAAGGACTGCACTCATCTCTGGGCATACGGGGGGATTTCTTAGGCTTCTTTGTTTTTGGAGATTTTTTGGCTCTGCTGCCAGACCTTTTATTCAGAGGACCTTCACTCTCCTTTTTGGGAACAGTTACTTCCATTTGAGCCACCCTCTTCTCATTTGATGACTCAGGTTGGTGGATCATCTGCACAGGGTGGGCTCTAGAGGTCTCTGGTAAGACTGCAAAATTGGGGTGGTGGCTTCCAGGTAACACATTGAGATAGTTCTCTCTGTGATGCATCCAAGCATCCCTCATGAAGTCCATGGACATGGGAGATTCCGATACCCCGCAAACCCTATGATGATATGCTCCAATATTAGCAGTGGCCATGACGGCGGGGTGGTCCCGTCCACCCAGTAGAGGCTTTTCGGACACAGTAGGCATGAGCTCCAGACCTAGGTGGCCTTTGAGAGCCGCTGATGGTTCGTAGAAACCCCAATTCCGCATATTTATACCACCATCGCCGCCGTCCATGACAATGAAGACAGACAGCTGAAACTGAGCGAAGAATTAACTGAAAGTAGAGGCAACAATAATGATATTATTTTGTTTCTGCCCAATAAATCAAACCCATTTTGGGTTGCTCCTAACAAACCCTACAAAAGCCACACAAGCAATGAATACATAATAACATGCTTAATCCACACAAACCAGTAGTATATATAGATTGTTTGTATAGAAGTATAGAACACAGAATATAAAAACTAATGCAGCTCAAGAACTTCCTAACACAAAGCTCTCTTTTTTGGGGGGTAAATTCCTAACAAAACAATGGGTAAATATATAAGATCAAATCAACACCCATCCGGCCATGAATTAGATGAACTACAAATACCACTCTAATGAACGACAATTCAATCCCCAAACATAAACTGACCTACAATGTGTACTGCATGTTTAATCTAGAAAATTTCAAAGAAAAATAGGATCTTTTCACATTAGATCTATACGGCGAACAAATAGATACAAAGAAATGAACAATTGAGTCGATGAGAGCTGGATTGATACAAGAAATTGAAATGCTTAGCATTTCTAGATTTGAATTGTAGAGAGAGAGAAAATGGGGACTTACTTAGCAGGCGGAGGAGAGACAGCTCGTTAGGGTTTGTAACCACCTCCTTTGACGGTAGAGATAGAGGAGACTCTAGGGATGGGAAACGGAACGAGAAAGTGATCGATGAATATACTCGCCTATTGATTATTTTATCGTTTTTCTCTCTTTGTTGGATTTTAGGCTGAAAAAAAGAAAAAAAGAAAAAAATTAGGAATTATGATTATTATAGGAAAGAAAAGGAAAATATAAAGAACAAAAATTTATGAAAAAAAAACTTTTCTATATATAGATTGCGCAAATACCCTGTGATGTTTAAAATAAATAAAAAATAAAAAAATCTACCTTTTTAAATTGAGTAAATAAAGATAAATTTTCAATTTAAAAATTAAAATACAATATAAAAAAAAACTCATATTTCAAAATTTTGGGATTTTTATAAAATAAATTGGAGTTTTTATAATTTTTGAAGTTTTTATAAATAAATAAATGTTGAAATACCTAAAATGCCCTTAAGGGTATTTTGGAATTTTTGGAAAAAAATGATCAAAATTGTTGACCAATAAGCTATTTGCAACAAATTTTTAAAATACATTAATTTATATGCACTTTAAAAAAGAGAGTATTTTTTGCTATTTCTAAATATCATTGAAGAGTGTTTTTTTGACCTTTCCCCTTATCCAAACACTACATTATGTATTTCAAGACAAAAGTAAACCTCCGAGGCCCCTACCATGTTAAAAAAAAATGAAAATAAAATAATAATAATATAATAAAATAAAAATATCTTCACAATAGAACCTCCTACATTTTGTTTTCTCACTTCTCTAATTCTGTAAAAAGAAAAAAGAAAAAAAAAAAAAAAAAAAAAGGCTATTTTTGTCTTACTAGCTGGTCTGGTCAAGCATGTTACATGAAATTTTAGTTGGACTTAAAAGTTTGTATGTTCTAATTTTATTAGAAAAACACTTATTGTATAAGTACAGTATTAAAAAGGAAAAAAGAAAATATAAAATAAGTATCAACTTTGTTAGAAGTTGTTGGACCTAACCAAAAACTTTGTTAGAAGTTGGGCTGAGCTTGTAGGGATCAGACCTAGGGTAAGCCTTCTATGGGCCTCGGACCTAGGGTAGCCTGTTATGGGCCGTAAAGAAGTCTTGGGGTCAAGGGAGTACAGCTTTTTGTCCTTCCCTTTTTATCAACCACACTCTTCTGATTTTTTTGGGGGCTAATTTGCCTTATCTTTTGGGCTGGGTCTTCCATTTTTTTCTTTGTTGGGCCTTCCTAGAGTATGCCCATGTATAGTTGTGTCTTCACATTTATTTTTTATTTTTTTTTTTACTTACCAAAAAAATATATATTATGTAAACCTTTTATGAATTTTCAACAGCATCATCGATTCCTAGTATAAGTTTTCTTCTCTGTACCACTCCTATGAAGCAAATTAAAAACAACTTCCTTAATTCCATTTTTCTTCATTTATTTGGAGTAGGGTTGGCCCCAGATCGGATTAGGCATTAATCATAATCCAATTTGTTTCCAACAAATTAAAAAAATCTTAATCCGTCACCGATCCGTGAGATGACAGATCAAATCAGCAAAATGATGAATCAGATCGGATTAGATCCGCTAATTGGGATTTTTCGTAAATAGTCCAATATTGCTTATTTTTTAATCATAATCCAATAGATAAAATTTTAATTTATTAATAGTAATTCATATTAATTAATACATCTTTTAAATGACAATTAACTAATATATTATTTAAATATATATAAATCTCACTGATCGGATTGGATCGGACTCATGGGTCTAACCAAATTTTAACAACCCAATCCATGATCCATTCCTGAGTTATGGATTAAATTTTTTTAATCCACGATCGATCCATGGGTGTAGCTATCGAATTCACGAATTCAAGTATTATTTACCCACTCTTAATTTGGAGTAAGTGAATCCCTTTAATTTATTATCATATAATGTGAGTTAGATCTAGGAACAAATATATATATATGTAGTGGTATCTTATCTTCTTTTAAGGTAAAAGAAATAAGGTAGAATGTCGGTAGAGTGTTCGAATCTCTCAAGAATATTTTGAAATTTCTTTGTTAGTAAAAAAAAAAAAATCAATAGCATATAACTTCTCAGCTCTCTAATGTAAACCAATTTATTCTAGTTACTGACTTAAATAATGGAAAAATAAATAAAATTTGATCAACATCAACAAAAACTTTTGAATGATTTAAGATAAAATTTACATACAGAGGCTAGTGCTAATATTATACCTTACTTTCAAGTGGAAGATTGAGGTTCCCACAATCGGCAACTATGGGTGTGCGACTTTGTACTACCGACCAAAAAAAAACCTATGAAATAAAAGAAAAAAATTAAACTGAAGTATTTTAAAAAATCAATGTACATCAGTACATGATGACAAATGTAGGACTTTATCATTATCACGGATAAGGAAAGTTATGATTAACTGCAGAATCCAACGTAACAACATTTGCAACTTAGATTGCACCACATTTATTTATGGAAAATGATAATTGTATGGAATTGTATTGCACTTAGAAAGATAAAATTTTAAAGATAAAACTATTCTGAATTTTAATTATCAAAGAATTTCAATTACCAATAATATATGTCATCATCCATTTCTATTCTATAGTCAAACCATTCTTTATTTTCTTTTCTTACCCTTTTCTCCATTACCATCATTAATTCCTGATACACAAATAAATCACTTTACAGAACTTGGTGATAAGAGTTTTTGATTGACCAGCCAATTCAGTCTATTATTGGTTTCTTGCATAAGAGTGTTAACTAGGACAGAGCTAGGATTTCAAAGGGTCTAGTATACTTTATTAAAAAAAGAAAAAAAAAAATTAACCACCACATGCTTTTCATTAATTTAATTAGCTTTATTCGCTTTAACGATGCACCATAGCATTAATAAAAACAGTGACATAAATCAATTTCAAAAGAAATATATTGGAACTAACAATGCAACAAGACACAAATCCAAAATATAGAAGTGTATCTTTCAAAAAAATAAAAAAATAAAAAGTTTAAAAAGAATAAAGAAAAAAAAAAAAACAAAAAAAAAGGAAGAACTTTAAAAGAAAAGGAAAACAAAATTAGAATTTAACTATAAAAAAGAGAATATAACATTTTTTTCTAATAAGGAATTAAAAGAATTTAAAAAGTACAACAAAAATTTATCATATATTTTTAGAAATTTAAAATTTTAGGGAGGGAATTTCTATAAAATTTTTATAAAATTTCTTACATATATATAGTAAAATACATATTATGTATATATGGCAAGGTAAGGCAGGGGCGGTGCCCCTGGTGTTTATTATTATAATTTTTTTTGTTTTGCGAAATTTTGTATATTCTTTTACATCCATCTATATAATTTTGCATATTCTTAAATATATATATATATATATATATATATATATATATATATAAATAAAGGATCAAAATTTTAAAAACAAATTTAAGTGATTGAATTGCACACCTATTTAGAGAGAGACAGTGTTATGATAAAATTTATGAAACAAATTTAAGGGGTTTTTAGTTATAGTTATTTTTTAAACGAGTATCAGTTAAGTAATCCTAAAAATGGTATGATGGATACGAGAAGGTAATATAAGGGTAATTTTGTCTTTGAAAATTCATGTTGTTTTAATGGACATATTAGTGGGACTATATGATTAACATATTAATTTGTTTTTTTGTGCCATGTAGATTATGCCTAACAAATTGGTCTAATCTTTCTACCTGAGTATCACGACCCTTTATTTATTTGTGAAGTCTAAATCATCAATCCAATTAATGTTGCCGCTTCGTGGGTTGTGTTCAACAAAAAATTATTAGATGGTCCTATATTACTGTATTTGACATGTGGTGAATTAATTCAATACAAACCGTTATAAAGGTTTCTTCGTAATATCTTAGGGCTTTGCTAACCACAGTCGCTTGTCTTATTAGTTTAGGAATCAGTTCTCATTTGTGATTTGTTTAGAAATTAGTTATCCATTATAACTTGTGTAGGATTAGAAACCTACAACAACATAACTTCTTTTACTTTTTATCCTACTTGACAAGTCACGTGGTTTATTGGCTACGTGTTTGTTTACCTATCCTCTAGGCTTAATTGTTGTTAATTTTTTTTTTTTTTTTTAATTTTTCTGCTCACCTGATGGGTTGTACTGTATTGTTTGATTTTTGGGTCATATTTTACTGTTAAATAAAATCTATAAAATTTAAATTTACATTCCAATTTTTATCGATCCTAAAATTTTTGTTCCAATTACAAACTTTACATAAATATAATAACACCACCAATACAACAAATCTGATTATTTTAAAAAATTATATTTATTTAAAGTGAAAAATATTATAAAAAAAATGAACATAATAGTACAAGACAAATTTTTTATATTTATTCATTTTTTATATATAATATTTTTCACTTTAAATAAATATAAAAAATTTCACATTCAGGAAAAAAAAAAAAAATAGAGTAAATAATCAGATTTGTTGTATTGGTGGTGTTATTATATTTATGTAAAGTTTGCAATTGGAACAAAAATTTTAGGATTGATAAAAATTGAAGTGTAAATTTAAATTTTATAGATTTTATTTAACAATAAAATATGACCCAAAAATCAAATAATACAGTACAACCCATCAGGTGAGCAGAAAAAAAAAAAAAAAAAAAAAAAAAAAAAAAAAAAAAAAAAAAAAAAAAACCTAACAACAATTAAGCCAAGAGGATAGATAAACAAACACGTGGCCAATAAATCACGTAACTTGCCAGTAGGATAAAAAAGAAAAGAAGTTATGTGGTAGTAAGTTTCTACACCTAGACAAGTCACAAATGATAACTGATTTCTAGACAAATCGCAAATGAGAACTGATGGACAAACGACTATAAAGCTACAATCACCCAAGACAACTGTGGTTAGCAAAACTTAATATCTTATACATTCTTGTGGGACCATTTTCTTAATCGGATAGTCTGAATTGAATTATTCCACCAAGTATCAATGAACCTGTACTATCTAATAATTTTTCTTACTCAACCTTATTGAGATTTTTTTTTAATTTTTTTTATATATATTGTCTTTTATGCTCTTGAATGCCTTTTG